AATTGGGTGAATATATCTCATATTACTGATTTACTGGTAGTCACGAAAACAATACTTAATTCGAAAAATACAAATCTTTTGTTACTCTAGTTAGAAGCAAATTGGCCAGTCGTCTTTCAAATGTTCTCCTGGATTATGCCACTATTGGAAAATAGTCAGATTTTTCACATCTTCTTAGCTAAAAATCAGAATGATTTGTTTATTCATGTTGATAAACCAGTCCGAGGCAAGTCATAAAAAGACCAATCCCAATTAATTTTATTGTTTTTTATGGTTATTTTCTCAATTTACAGGTAGTGAAAAAAAGTATAAATAAATATTCAAGGCACTATTACAGAGTATACATCGTCTTGCTGAGAAGGCCAAGAGAACCGGCAGAAATGGTTTTTTTTAAAGTATGTTGAAAGTGAACATTTTGAATATGCGATGTTTATTCCTTATTTTGCCACTTCCAGTCTTAATTTATACATGAAATTTAGGTTGATGTCAAGCAAGCTTTAAGACAAGACAAAATGAGGAAAGTAAAATGTGGACCGATTTGGATGAAATAACATTCATTTCATAGGGAGATATTTTTTTATTTACACTTTGAACATCATAATACTTGAAGGTGTAAAAATATGCTCATTTAATCTTATCATTTGCCAAAATGAGTAAGTCATAGTGGACTGTAAGGCATTGAAGCTTTATCTTTCTGGTGCTGAAATCCCCTCTCTTGCAAGAATGCCAAGAGGCTGTTCTTTTTTGATGCGTCTACTCGACAACACCTGTTTTATCATTGGCTGATGAAAAAGTGGTGATGCATTTTTCCATTTTTCCTCTGCTTTCCGAACTGAGCCATACTCTTCTACAGCATCGGTCGTCTTTACTTCCGTAGCCTCCACGTTCTCGAACGAATCTCCATTCAAGCTATTGTCTTTGAAAGCCTCAGTTTCCAGTTCAGAGCAGCAATCACTCGTGGCATCTTCACTTCTATGCGAGGTTGCCATGGCGGTTCCGGTCTGCTTTTGCGAGTGTCCCAAGCGTGGCCTTTGTTGGAGTCGAGAGACGATGTGGTGGGGCTGATCTAACATGGCTCCAGTCTCTACCAGCCTCAAGTTCCCCCGCCGGTTGGAGCCTGGTCGTGGAGAGGGATCTGATGCCGTGGATTTCACCCTCGAGACGAAGGTACCTCTTTGGTATGAAGGAACCTGACCCCCGCTTTTTTTGCCACAATTAGTCTGACTATTGGCAATATTGACATCGCAGGCTCTAATGTCTGCCTGGCCGGTGCCCGATTTTGAGCGGCCGATGGCGACACCGCCACCACCACCACCACTGCCAGCCGAAGAACGTACTGAGGAAACATGTCTGACCAGTCGCGAGGCCGGCCCCACAATGCCGGTACATGAGGGCTTGGTTGAAGCGAGCCCATTCACTTCTCTGTTTGCAACTCGTGAGCCCACCCGATCCTGCCTTGGAACAGCAGCTCTGAGCTCACCGCTGTGGCTCTTGACGTCAGGACATGCAGCGACAACTCCGCGACAGGCAACACTAAATGTTGTCGGATTCCTACGGATCTGGCGACCTCTGGAGCCAGAAGTTGGTAGGACTTTGGTGAGACTGACATCGCATTCTGGCAAGCCGGGCGAGGCTGACAAGGAACAGGAAGTAGCTGAGGAGGTCAAAGAAGAGTTGGGCGAGGTTAAGTGGCTTGGGGCATTTTGTGCTTGCAGTGAATTGAGAACCTCGCCCGAAAAAGAGTTAACAGTGGAATGGCTAGGGATGATGGAGGACTGGGAAGCCGATTTCAATTGCCGCGCTCCATGAGTGTACACAGATTCATGAACTGAATCTACGTGAATTTGACTTTTTATAATGCTCGCTGGCAAATGGGATGCTATCGGGACGCGAAGTGTGGGGTAACTCTGTTGCAATCTGCAAAAAGAGAAATTTAGAAGAAACTCATGAGAATGTAATCTGTCAAATTATACAAGATAATTACACTACTCGTAGAATTTTAGAGTAGTAAGAATTAATTTAGTTAAAATTGAAGTCAACTATTGGCTTACGCGTATATAACATTGCGTCCTAAAATTATCAGGAATATAGATATCGGTGATGGCCTCAATAAATTTAGGAAGAGGCATAACTCAATCTCAAAATCTGTTGTCATTCCAACTAGAGTAAACCTTCGACAAACTACCTAACATGAAATCAGACGCGAGTTCCAATGTAGATTCAAACCATTTCTGCAATTATGCATGGATAGAGTCACTGTCACTCTTGCAGTACCCCTTTAAGGAGATGTAAATCGCTAAAATATTTGCTCCAATTCACTATACCGCATGCAATGCGTCAACCAGTTTGTAGAAGAAATTAGTTTGAAATTTAATTGCGAAGCAATGATATACTCTAGATCATACTATAAAGAATATTATCTTCTATGATATAAATCATATATAATCAATGTTAATAATCTATCATCATACGAAATGTTTATTATAAATCAACATAAATCATTTAAAAAATAATATGGTTGTGAAAAGTTACATAGAAATGAATCTGGCCATCTGTAGATATAGT